ATTGTGTGAATGAATCTATATATATATGTGTGTGTGTGTGTGTATATATAAGGAATAAGTAGTGATAGGAATAAGTAGTCAAACAACGTTGTTTACTTTTATCTTTTGCTTTACCATTATATTTACAATAAATGTGGCATCTTTGCCTTATCCCTCTTAATAAGATCCTGCTGGTTTTTATTCTATTGGTATAACACGTTGTGAGTTCAAACCTTGAGGGGGCCACTTAGGAATCTGGGGCAAAAATCAGTACTTGGTCCTGCTAGTGAAGGCAGGGGGCTGGACTCCATGACCTTTCAAGGTCCCTTCCAGTTCTAGGAGATAATAATAAATAAATAAATTAATGGAGATGTCCTAACTGTTTTACTCACCAATGATGACAGTGTTGTCATCAGCTATAAGCAATTTGCTGTGAACATAGATGAGTTCAGTGACGAGATTTCCGTCCAGCTCGGCGTATGTTCGAAGCCCACAGAACGATATGTAATTTATCCACCGATCTCCAACTGAGGATTAAAAGGGACAATGAGGTGGGAGAGTGAGAGGTGGTCATTAGTAATATCAAGGCAAGGAAAAGCAAAACAGTTAACTTTCAACATCTCCTTAACAATAACATAATGTAAATAAGTCTCTTTAAAATAGATGTTACTCTGCTATGCCTCTCTGTGCCATTCTGATTCATATGGCCAGCTTGACTGGCTACCCAGGGATTCCCCCATTTTGGACCAAACTCTGCCTTGTGTTGTATACTAGCACCTCCAATTGATGCTAACAACTGAGAATCATTTGGCTAGTTGGTTGCTTTCTCTGACTGAGCTGTGGGGAAGAGGTTGTAACCATTTTTTTGTCTGCACATGCTATGGAAACCATTTTCTATTTTAAATGACCTACACTTCAGATTTAGACAAAAATACATGAATCAAGGATGTATTATATGGCACGTGTATTTATGAAACATGTTTTTCGTGGTGCTCTGATTTCTATCCAAGCAAATTTAAGGACGCAGGCTGACCCCAGGAAAGCAATTATGATAACAGTGTTATAATTAAATAGTTTTATCTCTGTGTGGTCATTGGGTGCCAAGCAACAGTGTAACAAAAAACCATCTCTAAAACAACCCAAGGCTATATGATCCAATAAACAAAATCCAAAAGTGGTGAAGAATCATACATAAGAATTCCCCACCCAACAATCTATAAAATACACACTTCTATTGTCCTCACTCCATCTTTGTGCTGCATAACTCAATGTTAGAAATCAACTTGACCACAAAATCAAGCTAAACAGAAATAAATATTGGGAGTCTTGTCCACGAGGATGCCACTGATTGGATCTTACTGCTTGATTATATTTTGTCAGATACACAGATGTTTTTGGCTAGTGTGTTTTCCTTATTTTGAAGATGTTTGATATTTGACATAATTGCAATATTTTATGTTATTGAAGTTTATATAACTGGCGAGTGGATGAGCTCATTTATGCTTTATAGCTAATCAATCAAAGTTTAGTGTCCTCAAGACCTAATGATGAACATCACACAGAGAGGGAAACAAAGCACTTACTCTCTGCTTTCAACTGTCCCAGGATAGAATTATCTCCTCTGCACATGGTCCTGGAAAGAATTAAGGTGGCAGTTACAAATACAAATGATCTGAAGCAACGACGTACAATTAGGTATGTGAAGATAGCGATACTCCTGATGTGCTAATCACAAACACAAGACACATTTTAAGTACCATATAAAGAGAAGAGCTGTGACATTCTCAGAATACATTTTTCCTAAACAAATGTCAACAGGGGTGTAGAACACAGAAGGCATAGAAGTTCGTATGCACCTCTGGTCGGTCACCTTCTGCTGGGGAAGATATTGTAGTCTACATGGGGATAAAAAACCCACATCTGGCCTGGGTCAGCTAAGTCAGGCTCACAGGGCTGAAAAATCTCTGTGTAGACATAACCTAAGTATGATTCTGCCGGTCACTGGATTCTCAATGTTGGTCCCTTGGTCTCACGACCCCTATGGTAGCATGGCTCCCTTATAAACCCATGCTGCCTTCAGCTGTCCCTCCCCAGAAAGCAGTCACAGCAGTACCACTTCCTTCCCCTTTCAAAGCCTCTCCCCGCCATCACCCTTGTGCTGGGGTTGCTTCTCTCTTCTGAACAAGGAGAGAGGAGCATGGGGTCCCAAGGACCAGAAGGGATCTCTGAGCAGTCTGAGCATCAGCTTTGAAAAAGACTATGGGGGAGATTTTAAAAGGCATAATTGGTAGCTATGTGCCTAATCTGCAATGACTTTCATTAGGATTTAAGGCCTAACTGCCATTTGTGCCTTTGAAAATCTCTCTCTTCCCCGACCCCACCCTACCGCCAGGCTCTGTGGAGCACGAGATTACAAAACTTTGAGGCCTGCCCCAACCTTTACTCCTTGCAAAGAGATATATTTAGCACCATGAAATTTATTGGGTGTGGGTCTTTCAGATGGGGCCTCCTGTGCTCTGAGTGAACATTAAATATCAGTATTTATGCACGTATTTCCAGGGTATAATATAGGTGTCTGTGTTTGAAAATGCATGTTATTCCTCTCAGGCTGATCTCAGAATCTGTGAGATATACCTGCAAGAAATTCAAGATCTGCTGATGAAACCTAACTAGGGCCCCTGACAAAAGCAATATGGCTGACAAAACCATAAAGCTCTGAGCTCCCTCTGCTGGCTGGGCAGCAGGGCAGTCAAATAAAGCACTCTTCTCTGGGCTGAATTGTCATCTTTAATGATGGTGGAGCTCAAAGCAAGATAGAGTTGTGGTGCTAATATTTGTTGTTGAACAAATAAAGCCATGTTAATTTCAGCTCTGTTGAAACCATGGGGAAAATTGATACTAAAATACTGTCAGGCTTCTAAAAAAATATCAAAACCACACGGATAAACTAGAAAAAAATGTAGTGATATGTAGTAAATTGTAGTAAATTCTTAAAAGGAGGGTGGAAATTTCAAGTATGAGTAAATTAAGTCTACCTCTATGTGCTTGTAGAAAACAAACTTATTTTGGAGCCTTATGGTGCATCCAGAAAACAGGCTAGACAATGAGCTCAGCAAGGATTTTATTAGCTATCTCTAAGTCCAAGGTCACTATTGCAAATAACAACAATAATATAAAAAACTGTTGGCGTGTTATGTAAAAACTGTATCACAGATAAACAGTTCATTTTCTTTTTTCTTTCCCACATACTGTATGTATGTACAGTGCCTAGCACAATATGGCCTTGATTCTGATTGGAGCCTGTGGTCACTACCACAGTACAAATCATCACTACCACCACCACATCAACAAAACCATGGAGATCACTATAAAGATCTCAGAGTACCGTGTCCTTTTTTGGCCTGTGCACAGTACCTGTAGTTGAAGTGCATTATGGCTTGCAGTGCATTCCCACCTCCAGTTGAAATATCTCCTTCAAATCCAGGCAACAGCGGGATCACCACATACACTCGGTATCGTTTGCTGTCCCTAAAATAAATAATCCAATAATCCTTTGGGATATTTTCCTGCAATTTCAACTTCTTTTCACCAAGCCTGCAACCAGTCCTTATTCACTGGCTCTCATTCCATTGATTTACTCCTATGGTTTCTGTAGTAGGCTTCTACTTCATTTTTAAGGGAGCGCGAGTCAAATGTATTTTTGGTTCAGGTTTTCCACAGTTGTGGTCAGTGCTACAGCATTTATTTAAATGCACGTGCACAGAAGGTGTAATTTACCAAGAACTGAAAACAACAAAAACAGGTGTAGAATAAAAAGAAAGGTTGGGACATGTTTATTTAAGTGTAAGAGGTATGGTATGCATCACAGAGATGCAGGGTGAGGTAATTTTCTTGATTGTTGTGTCTAGCTTTATGGAAATAAGTGCCTTTGAGAATCTCAGTTTAAACGGACAGCACCTTATTGAACATGGCTAGCAGCATAAATTATTATTGTAAAGTCAATACAAGCATGAAAACAAAATTAAATCTACAGTTTTCCTCCTCTCCCAACCTTGTCCTGTTTCCAAGCTGCAGATCACACTGGGAGAGGAGATAGATAGAAAACTCAGTGCACTGGCCAGCTTTTGATGAATGGGCCTTCCCACAATATTTAGAAAGGGTAAATATTTGGCCTCATACATCACAAGGGTTCAGTTTTCAAGTATCCTTAATTGTGATCTGATCCTGGATTACCTCTGACTTGCTAAATCCACCCATTTTTGCTTTTTCTTTGTTGTTAGTTAGATGCTTATCTTGAGGGCCAGCCAATTTCCGCTGTGGCTTAATTCTAGAGATGCCTTTCAGCCTGAGTAATCCAAAATAACAGTAGGGTGCCAAACAGTGGCAATTTCCCTAATTAAAATTCAAATGCTCCCTGGCTTTAGATGCTGTTTTTACCACCATGAAAATAATGGTGGGTAATTTCTGATTGCCTTCAAAGCCCAAATTGTTTTGTTATTGTACTCTATATGTGAAGAGTCTTATTTAATTTACTCATCACTAGGTGGCAATGTATTTCAGTATGGATAAAGCCATTTTAAAAAACAGTATCTAGGTGGACCAGTTTACATTTTGCGAAGACCATTTTTTCCTGGTAAATCCTTAATTAGCTTGCACCTTCAGATGAGAGACCAGAATAATGGCCAGGGGATCAAAACTGGTTCTGATGTGACTACTAGTACATGTATCAGTGGAGGAATTTCTACTGTTAATGGAACAGCTACCATGGTGGCCCTGAAATTATTGCAAGTTGCTTTGGACTATCAATAGGATTACTCATGCTTAAAGCCAAGCATATGCTTAAGCACTTCATGGTTTAACATGTGTCATTTGTAATCTCAGTATTTGAATAATACAGTGTATCCTTTAGTAAGTAGAAGGAAGTACAAAGGGAATACAGTACTGAAGGAATCTATTTATCCTAGCTTAAGCAGTCAAATGTTTATAGATAAAATTTTAATTAAAATGTTATTTTTAAAGCAAACTTTAGAAATGGTTAAAATGTCTCATATGCACATTATAGAAGAGATGTAAATTGCAAAGATTTGGAAATTAAGGATATAATTATTGATATTGATGAAAATATACTGTATTGTGAGAAAAAATTACTTATAATCAGCTAGTTCTTACACAAAACCCAGTTTGCTTGTCTAAACACATAATAAAACCTACTAAAATAGGTCAATGAAACAGAGGAGACAAGGAGAAGAGGAACATTATGAATGTGGAAAATGTTTTGTCTACAGAATAGAGAAATATGATACTTAATTGGGAACACTCCACCAAGATCTTCCATTTAGGATTAAATATCTGTGTGCCAGCTGGCCTTTTCCCCCTTCCCTATGGAAGTTAAAGTGTAACATTACTTCTTTCTTCATCCTAGCCAATGACATGCACCTTATGGCAAATGCAATCTGGGTGATTCAGAATGGACTTGATCTTCTACTCCGTTAAGTCACGACGAGGTACATACCCAGGTGGTTCAGGAAGGTTTGTCCTGCCACGGCTACATTACTATTTGTACTTGTGCTAACTCTCAGATGTGCAACTACATATACATGAACTGAGAATCAGACCCTGTGCTCATAAGGTAGATGTGGCCTAAACAGTAGATTTTCTGCTGGCTCTAATGCAGCTGTTTAAGCTACAAAGAGGAAACCCAGTCCATCGGTATGTGTTAAAATAGCCTATTACATCCGGTCTTGGAAAGATAAATATGATATTATGGATAGTTAAGAAATCTACAATATGTTTGGAATGGCTCTCCAGCTTAACAAGACTATGCTGATAGATTGGGACTATGCTGCACCACAATGGCGAAGTGCCAGGGAGCCACAACCACTGGGTTGCCATACAAATACTAGCACTTTTGAATAGTGAATGCCATTTTGAGGCACACTGCAAAATATTTCTGGTCAACAAAATATTTCTGGCTTTGATGTATATCCAATTGTAGATGCAGAACCAGATTCTTCTCTCATTGATTTTACCCAAGTATAATTCCACAGACTTCACTGAAGTTACTCCTGAATTATACTGGCATGAGAAGAGAATCAGCCTATAGGCTTTTCTCCATAGCATGGTACAGATACCTTCACTATACATTGCTCAATGACCATGTTCCTGTATCTATCCCCAAGCTGTTCTGCCTTCTGGCTGTAGACAGTGGTGTTCATGTTGAAGCAAACCAATTTCTCCACGGTCTGTCTTTCTTCCAGGGTGTCTCTGACCACTCCAAACCAGATTCTGACCTCACACTGGTTTGCTATCGTCTTAATGACTCCTGATTTACACCAGCATAAAGAAGAAGAAAATCAGACCCTCTCTCTCTCTCTCTCTCTCTCTCTCTCTCTCTCTCTCTCTCTCTTTTAGGAGTGTCACTTCCTTCACTTGTCTGTATTTCATGTTAAAGCGCTGAAGAGAGTGAAATCAAGATGACTCCAATGGGTTTCTGAGGACCTTAACACCTCTGAAAATCAGCTCACACATGCTTATGCATGAGAGGAATATTTAGAGACCAGACATTGCAAGTAAATCAAACTCATCCACATGCACAGTGAAAAGCACAAGTGTTAGCTGAAAGGGGGAAGGAAAATGAGGAAGGTTTGCAATAAACTCAATCCAACACCGTAGGGTATGACAAATGTCTTAGGATATGTCTAAACTGCATAAAAATCCCATGGCACCAAGCCTCAAACCCAGTCAACTGACTCAGGAGAGCGGGGTTTGGGCTGCGGGGCTAAAATAGCAATGTAGATGTTTGGGCTTGGCTTGGCGCCTGGGCTCTGAGACCCTCCCACCTCACGGAGTCTCACAACTGGGCTCCAGCCCTAGGCTGAACATCTACACTGCAGTTTTATAGCTCCACAGCCTGAGTCCTACGAGCCTGAGTCAGCTAACCCAGGCCCAGGATCTTTTATTGCAGTGTAGACATATCCTGCAAGATAGACACCAGAAAAACAAACCTAAGCAAAGCTGTCCAGGATCATAGAAAAGGCAAAACTAATTCCTTTGTTGCTAAACGCTCCAGTTAGCCACGTTATCACTGGGCCAGGTCTTAAGTGACAGCACTAAGATATCTGACTCTGATCCATCCATGCAACCTGCTGTAGCTACTGTACAATTTAAAATACTACGGTTCTCTTGCAGTGATGTGGGCATTGTAAATATCCTCCAGCGCTTATCAGAGAAGGGGCTGGCATTGCAGTAATGGTCTAAACTTGAATCACGGTCAAATTCCTCAGAGTATGGCAGCTTTCACTCTCCCCATTTAAAAGCAATCCCCTGCATAGAGATCTTCAATAAACCATGTAGCCAGTTTATATGATTAAACTTACTTGTGTGTAAAGTTGAAGAACAGTTAGAATCATGAAACTAACGCTGGCAATGGACCCATAATGTTAGGTAAGATTTACCAAATGCAGTACCAACAACTTGCTTTTTGACTGAAGTAACATATCTTATAAGGCCAAATTCTACACTAAGTGACACCAGTGCAAGTCCAGAATAATGCCATCAATTTCAGTGGAGTTATTTCAGATTTACATTGGTGTAACAGAGCAGAATTTGGCCAAGATAAATGTTGCCTCTGAGTAAGGACTGTGTCCCTTTACATATTATTTTAAACCGTGTCTTACAAATGCAGTCTGGATTCCATTTACAATATTTTTAATATCATCTTAGTAACAAGATCCTGACAGTTCTTTTGAAAACAAAAAAATACCTGTGTGCTTTAAGAATCCGCCGAGCGATGGTATCTCCAATCTTGTTAGAAACGACTTTGTCATCAGCACAGCTAATAAAAAATTGGTTCTAAGGGAAAAGTGAACACAAAGAAATTCAGAATCATCTCACTGTCTTTTTGCCAAGGATGGTTCGGTGGTTAGGCCCAGAATGCAGATTCACTTCCCTGGTCCACCACTGACTTCCTCAATGACCTTATACAAATCAGTTAGTCTTTCTGTGCCTCAGCTCCTCATCTGTGAAATAGCACTGTCCTGCCTCACAGAGAGGTTGAGAGGATTAATACAGTAAAGATCGTCATGGATTCAGATACTACAATAATGGGGCATGGATAGATACATAAACAGACATTGGGCTGGGGCCCCATTTTGCTACAGTTTGAAAGAAACATTTTTGCTGAACACAGAACAGCAATGACACAATAAGATCACAGGGTTTAATCACAACAAAAATCTCAAAACCCAGAATGTATGATTTTTGTTAGGATAAGAAAAAAATTAAGTGACTGTTTTCAACATCAGCATAGATAACGGCCTCAAATGAGCAATCCTCAGAATTGTTAAATAAAAAAACAATCTGATTTTGTGGCTATGGCAAAGCATGAAGCATACGCAAGTTAGAGACTGCTTCCCAAGCATGTAATTATCTCCAGATAATTATTTGGCATTATTGCCATTGTGAAACTCTTACTTTGACACATGAGATGAAATCCTGTCTCACTGAAGTCAATGGGTGTTTTGCTATTGACTTTACTGGGATCAGTATTTCACCCATGCTGTCTACAAAGTCATAAATCTACATGCTTTCAGGGTTGTGGGACTATTCTGAGTCAAGAAGCAAATAAAGCTACATCCTGTACAATGTTTTCCTGGATGGCAACGTATTATTTTAATTAAATGGTGTCTGTGTGCGCACTCAGGGGGAATAATTATTCTTGATTAATCTCCCTCTTTAAACACTAACAAGTAAAAAACATCCAAACAATAGATGGAAACAGATACAGAATAAGTGTCTCCATTCAGCCATTTATTCCTGCATTTATAAGTCCATTCATACAGAGGAGAATTATGCAAGATCTAAGAGACTATTAAGTGAGTCCACTGCGCATTGATGGGAGACCAAACACTTTGATGTGTAGGGCTGGGAATGCAGCAGAGCCAAGAAGGCAGCTGGAAGACAAAAGTTGCTAGAGGTTCTGGAAAGAGAAATAGTAACGGAGTGGCCTTGTATTTTAACCCACATTTAGAGTTCTGTACTGGTACATTAATTACTGACTTGATCCAAAGCCTATTAAAGTCAATGGACATAATCCTATCGACATCAGGGGGCTGCAGATCAGGCTCTATGTTAATATTAACGTTTCAAAATTTACAAAAGGAGAATAAAATAAAGAACTATCCTGCTGAGGGTCACAGGATGTGCTCAGCACTTCATTGAACCAAACTGCCATTGCCTTGCATCCGTGGTACTTACTTCGATATAGATGTAGTGTTTACTGTTTTCTATCACGCTAACATAAGCATTGTGGATGGATTCTTCATGGTACTTGATGCCAGCTGACCAATCTGCAGCAGAACGGAGCACCTGTAAAGAGACAGATTAGCTGTTTTAGTTCGGCCCTGATATAAGATGGCACTGGCACCCTTTACTAATTGTTTTGAACTGGTTGGTTTATTTTTCATGATTTCACTGACTTATGTAACACACACAACATTTGCTAACTACATGTTATATGTATAACAAAGGGAAATAAAGCTTAGAAATACTGTTAAAAAATTAAAACAGTCTGATGAAAATATAAAGGCCTTGATTCACCATTTTGTTACCCCAATTTTATGCCACAGTAATTTCAGTAAAGTCAATGGAATTATACTGGTGTAAAACTGGAGACACAGAGTGGCAAATCTGGTTGCAAAAGTCTATTACTTACTGTAGTTCTTGTAATGTTGAATTGCCTTTAATATATTTTCTCAAGGCTTGATCCTGAGCTCATTGAAGTCAATAACAAAATTCCCATTGACCTCTATGGTGCCAGATTAGGCATTTATTTCTTATGCACAGAGACACATGCCATCAATTTTACAGCTGCAGTACCTACTGAAATCAGTGAGTTTTGCCCAAAAACTGATGGTGCATTATAATACACAGGCCAATGGCACCAAATTTTAAACAGGAATGGCAGTCTCTGCCCTAAACAAGTACAGTCATTTACATTTTTGTGAAAAATTCTTCCCAAACTGGTCAAATCTGTCAGATTTGTGATTTTTTTATTTTAATTTGCAGTAGGTCAAATTCACATGAAAAATTTTTCTGACTGTCAATCAGAACAGGCATTTCTGAAGTAACAGACATTTCAAGATCCTCCGAGTATATTATTACATCCCGAATGTAGCACAAAAGCTTTTGTCAAAAGGCAACCAAACTAATATGGGAAATACCCTTTGCTCACATTCTCTCCCATGATTAATTTTGTCCTTTGCTGAAACTCTGGTTTGTGCTTTCTCATAGTTTCCTGCCTCTGTTACTATAAACTCCTACTCACTGTCCTTTCCCCAATCTCATCTCTCTCCAGTTCAGTGAGTGCAAACCCCCACTGCCTACATAGTCTTCCCCACCTTCTGCTCTGACCATGCCTCTCTCTTTTTAAGATCTCTCCAGTTGATTTCTCTTCTTCATCCATATTCAATTCAAGCTTCTGCTCCTCACCTCACTATTCTATTCCAATATCTCTAACCTCATCTCCTCCTACATGTCATCCGACCCTCGGGGCTCCACCCAAGCTCTCCCCTTACCATCTCATTCCTCTCCTTCATGCACACCACACCTATGCCTGGAGCAACCCTTCAGTCAACGTTATGGCCACCATCTTGGCTAACACTGGGAACTGAACCAGGAACCTGTAGAGCTAAATTCCTTGAGCTAAAGGAAAAGGGGCAGGTCCTGAGCTAAATTATCATAGCTCAACAAGCTTCAATGGAGCAATGACAATTTACACCAGCTAAGGATCTGGCCCCTAGTCCCTATGGCTGAGATCTGTACCAGACTCGCACGCATATTTCCTCCAGATAGAAAAAGTTCATCCAAGTATCTGATACTCACAGCAAAGTCAAATACTGGACAAATCCCCACTTCTGCGACAGCTGTAATGTTGGCCAACAGCAGGATTAAACTGGGGCCCTCCTGAGCCGAAAGCATAAATTACTGCAGCTTGAGCTGAACAGCCAGCCTCTGTCGCTAGAGGCTGTAACAAACTCGCATCCTTTATGGATTGGGCGCAGAGACAGACACATTACCCACCCTGACCAGCGGGTTACATCAACATGTGTTAAGTGACTTTCATGGCATACTTAAACTCTTTGCATGAAGCCCACCTCCTTCTTCAAGGTCTGTGCCTTGCTCACATCCCCACTGCATTAGTCACATCCCCACTGCATTATCATCCCCACTGCATTAGTCAAGACATCAAGTCAGCTGTTCTAGATGGAAAGCTGGCTGATTTTTTACAACCCACAGCCCAATCGTCATGCTGTCTTGTGAAACTCCCTTTTCCTATTGCTGGTTGTTTTCTGTGTGCTCTCCAGTGCAGAGTTCTCTTCTGCAGGTTCCAGCATTGAAGGAAACAGCCATGATTCCTTACGGAGAGCCATTGGCAGCTGCAGGAGCCAAATGCTAAGTCTGAGAAACAGTTTTGCAGCGGAGGATTCTTGCTTTTTGCTATCTAGCCCCCTCACAGTCTGTCTCTGGCCAGTGGGCCAGCATTGCCTGTAAACAGTTGTGTGATGTGGTAGGTGTGAAACTGCACATTCACCTAAGATAGGATCAGTTCCTTGAGGGGATAGTTTGCCAAGTTGGATGCATCTTATTCTATGATTTATCTCTCATTCTAGTCATGGGCTACATTTTCTGGTATGTAAATAACAACGTACAAATCAACCACAGCTGTGTTTAAGATGTGTTTAATGAAACAAGAATATCCCTTCCGTGTTCTAATATGTTTTAATAAATAGCTGGATTTTCTTGGAATTTACAAATAGGAATACGTGGGCAGCATATTAGCCTGCAAAATACATTTTTAAAACTGGCATGACTGATATAGATATATTTCTGACATACACTAACCCAGACAGTGTGACAGCCAAGGAGACCTCTGTCTAAATGAAAGTTCAGGCAATGGCTTAGCATGTCATGTGAATCCAAATGGGATCACTTGGATATCACCTATTTAACTTCCTTTTAAATGTCTGACTCATAAAACCCTTATCTGCCAAATAAAAAAATATCCAAGAATGAAGATTTATCCAGATGACAAGGACTCTTGAGAATCAAGTCTGTAGTAGGTCTAAATGGGCTTAGCTCCATGGAAGTCAATGGAGATATGCTGATTTACACCAAGTAAGGATCTGGCCCTGATTATTGTATATTTAAGTCAAAGGTTTTACTTTGGATTTGGAGTGCTGCAAATGAGAGCAGAATTTGGTCCACAGTGTGTCAATGAGGAAATCAGAAAGTGATACCTCAGGTGTGTGATGTCTTTAGAGTCACAGAGGTAGGGAAGCATCTAAAGAAGCTACAGAGGGACCTGATCTTGTAAACACTTCCTCTAGTGCAGTGCTTCTCAAGCTATCTGATGTGAGGGACCGGCAATTTTTTTCCCCAATGTGCCAGGGACCGGTGCCATATTATTATCCTATTCGACGCTCTTATGAGGAAACTCGCCGCGGACCGGTAGCCGATGGCTCATGGACCGGCACCGGTCCGCGGACCACCACTTTAAGAAGCACTGCTCTAATGCATGCACTTCTCCTCTGCATAATCCCACTGTCTGCAATGAAGCTCTGCAGTGGAGTGGTTGCGGAATTTGACCATAAGCTTAAAACTAGAGCAAAAGTGAGGCTTAGAAATAAGATAATGGTACCCGTCTGGGCAGATTTTGGAAGTGTAGGGGAAATGCTGGCTGAAAACAAATGGGATAAAAGCAACAACCAATTTGTCAAGAAGTTGCATTTAGCAAAACACAAAACCAAACAAACAAACAAACCAGGAGTAAGTGGGTCATTGCAAAAGAACAAGAGCATCTAAAGTAAGAAACAGTGATGTAAAAGATATGCAGCAGAGGTACCATACAGAGCAGCAATAGAAAGAGTACAGCACGAAGCTTGCAATGGGAAGGAAAGGAAGTTTGTATAGGTGGTTTCAACAAACAAGACAACTTTCAAATACATTAGGAAAAGGAGTTTAAAGAGACATTCAGACCTACCATAGACAGAGTGATTTATTGATCAAAAATATAATTGTTAAAGAACCCAGTAGTCGTGTGTCACTCTATCTATATAGGAGATTGAAGGCAAATGTCACAAGAGAGGAAAGAAAATTCAGAAGGAAATCTGGATTATGCCAAACCAAGTGAACAGAAAGTAAATCTGATGAGTGAAAAAACTCCAGAGCAGAATGGGATCCATCCCAGGATTTTAAGGAAAGTGTGAAAGAACTTGGCAAACTTTTAGTAGATGTATTTAATAGTAACTCATTGGATATGCATAGTTCTAGTTCTATACATAGTATTCTTACTCTGGAAAAAGACATTATTCAAAAAGCCAAAGTTACAGCAGACAGTAACCATCACAATATGGGACTTGAAGAGCTTTGATATTTAAGCAACAACTAGAGAAACTATGGCTAATTTTTTTTGTTTTCTTTTGTTTGTCAAAGAGTTTCTCTGGAAAAAAAAAGGGAGAATTGAAGAGAGCATCTCATTGAAGTACACCTTGTCCTGAAGGACTGTGAAGTAATAAGACAGGACACTGCAATGATATTCTACTAGTAGAACAGAGGGAAGGAATCTTAAAGGAAATTAGTCTGCTTACCCATGATGAATAGTGGGCATATAAAGAATAACATAGCCAGGGTAGCAACAAGAATAACTAATTTTAAAAAGATGCCACTATTAAATTATACTTCCACCCATTTTAACGCCCCTTTACACTACCAGAGGTCCTCTTGTACATGAGGATCAGGCCTTTATATTTTAAAGCAAACTTACACTGCCCAGCCTCTTGGGAGTATCTGATGATGTCTGGGCCAGGAGGGAGCAGCCACCTCCTGTGCTGCTAGGAATGATCTTTCTGTGAGTATGGGGGGAAATTCTGGCTGCCCAGCTAGCATCTGCTGCTGCACCAATGCTCCAGATGATGGGCTTCCAATGAGCATCAATGTTCTCTACTCTTCTCTGTTCTCTCATGCTGGTCACACACTCCTGGGCCTCGACCGCCACGCCCTGCAGCAGTGAAACTCAGAGCTCAGCTGCCTATCCTGGGTTTGCTGGTGTAGTTGGCTGCAGCTCCTCCACTAGGCTTCCTCAGCCCTCTGTTGCGAAGGTGTAGTGGCACAGTGCATGCAGCCCACTGGCCAGAAGCTACCGACGCAATCTGCAGCAATTAGCAGCAGGGAGCATATGGCAGTGGGCTTCATGGGTGCCAAAAGCCAGCCTGGCCTGAGGAATTCGATCCAAAATTTAACTCTTTTACGAAAACATTTGTAAAATGTTTCTTTCATAGCACCTGAGCCACCAATATTTAAAGGGTGCTTTAGAATAGATGGCTAACTTTCCCAGTGTCCCCAGCAGAGTAATTTCTGCTTTCCAAATAAGTTGTTCAGTGTCGGTACCAATGCAGTGATTTCAACAGCTCAAAAACCCCTCCATTAGCAGCAGTAGTTGCTGTTCTGCTGGAGACAAGGAATAAATCAATGTGGGGTTTTTTTTTTTTCATTTTATACTTGATGACATAAGCCTCTCTCAATTTGAAAAATGGTTTTACCACTCAGAGACAAACTAATGGTTGGCTGGAAAAATCATCCAACAAGAGAACCACCAGATCAGAAAGAGATCGATCACTTTCAATCCCACAGCTTCACAACTAGCCAGTCCAGACGCCCCCTCTCCTTTTAAATTCTCTTTTATCCCCTCCCTCACCAAATCATCACACCAGCTTGACAGGTCACAGCATTGTTGCTCCAAACTCTAAAGGAATTCCTTCTCTGCCGTTCCTCCCTGTAGCAAAGTCCTTTAGTCAAAGATAGAAGTTATTAACTAAACCAAATTTGAGGGTTCTGCTTCTCACTAAAATCAGTCAACATGAGTCCAGCAGGGTCACATAACACATTGATGACAGGTTTTAAAAAGATACATTTCAGGGTAGACACACATTCAGCCATCTATCTATGGTACCTTTATGGCCTCCGTTACCATCGTAGCTGAGCTCCTCACTATCTTTAATGTATTTATCCTCACAACACCCTGTGAGGTAAGGAATTACTTTTATTCCCATTTTTCAGATGAGGGACTGAGGCACAGAGAGACTTAGGGCCAGAGTTTCAAAGGTACCTGAATACCTTTAAAAATATGGCCCTAAGTGACTCACTGAACATCACACAGGAAGTCTGAGGTCAACCAAGGGCTTGAATCCAAGTCTCCCAAATCCTAGGCTACTGCCCTGACCACTGGAACATCCTCTCTCTTGTATGCATCATCATCTTGGTAATATTTGTATATTGTAATGAATTGGCTTGTGTCTGCATGTGAACATGTGTGCTACCACCCTCTACTGGATGGAACCAGAACTGCTCAACTCTGTATCATGGGAACTATACTGTTAACAGTAAAATGTGATTCTCTTTTAGCAGGTGTCTGTGCCTTTGAAACAGGAAGATTTCAGTTGCAACTCCGTTTATTTCATAAAGGTCTGAGTGGTCACTGTATGCACCAGGGTAATACCTGAAGTTTAGGTTGCCACAGATTAATTATGATATATACGTGCTCTGAACTTCCTTTTAAATTAATATTTACTTATTACTAATGTGTAATTTACCACTCTTGTCAAATTGTCCTCTCTTGTCAATGCATTCAAAATTAATAAACTGAAATGCAAAATCCTTCAGTTTCAGAGAAAAGGTCTGCATACTACTTAAGCATATTACACAGAAACAAGCACTGGTGTTCTCTCCTCTCCCTCCCCTCTCAGCTCTGCAGCTTCCCATCACTCATGCAATTTTTATGCAGGTGCTGTCATCCCTTTAACCTCTTTAATCCAAGCAACAACACCACCACCAGTATTTGCTGGGAGTTATTCCATAACTGCAAACAATACGTACTGTGGAGCACATTTCTAAGAGCTACTACCTTGTGTCACTCAGGGTGCATGATGATTCATTGTGTCTTACAGTCTGAACAGGGTGTGAGGTTGTCTCACCATGTCACAGACTTACTGTGTCTTGCTTGGATAATAACTGGAAATTAGAGCTGGAAAAACTGAGAGTGATTTTAGTTTGGTGACTCCCTGTCAAACAAGTTTGGCTCATGCAAAAATCAAAGGTGCTATGATAATCAAACCCCAAACTTTGGGAGAGAATGCTTGACTCAACCCACAAGCTGTCTAACTTACTCCTTCCTTTCTAACTCCTGTCTTCACATCTTTTCCTGTGCGTTCCCTCAGGACTGACTCGACTGCCCCATGATGCAATCCAAACCCCACCCAGACCTGTTTTGCTGTGCTTTCACCCTGTCTTCCTGCCAACAGCTCCTTACAACACATTTCTTCCAGAAGGCCTATGAACCCCAGTCCTCCCCTCAAAGAAGTGACAACAAAACAGATGGAGGGAGCAGACCAAAACCTGTGAAACTAACAATTAGAGGCCGCTATGATAATACAGATAAAACATCAGCATCATGGCTCAGTCAGTAGGCTTTCTGTGGCAATATCCCACCCCCCACCTATCCTTCATCTAATCAAGTCCAGAATTTCAAAAGGGCTCAGTCAGCACTCACAACTGGAGTCAGATTTTCAAACAGAGAGTTCAGCTCCCATTCACGCAGATAAAAGAAGTGGCCAGATTTTCAACAGTGCCAAGCACTCAGCAGCTCCCATTAAATCTATTCATTAGATTTTACTCTTCTTGGAGCAGGGAATTTGTCTCCGATTTGCCTGTAAAAGGACTCTATCCTACCACTAGTGCTATATAAACAATGATAATAAATGTTTCTGGGTTTGACCTATCTCTACTAGAGGAAGGATTTACATAAAAACATATCCCTCCTGCCCTTCTGGGTAAGAGTGCCTGTGAAAGACTAGAGGGACTCTGTTCATGTCTCGAACCATCACTGCAGTCAAACTGAAAGGTAAATGAGACGCCTGCATCCTGCCCACAGTAACACTATTTAGACAGACGAAGATCAGCTTTACATCAATGGAGTGTCTTGCAGTGGGGAGCTGATAAGAAAGAGAAAGGCAGGTTCCATGATGGACCCAGCTGCCTCAGTAGCATAGTTGGAAATACCAGAGGTGATGCTTTGGGTATTTACACAAGGAAGCTAAGTAACCGAGCTGAGACCCTGGGTCTGTGCATGTATGGAGGAGGGGGGGAGATTAAGGGCCAGATTCTGACTCTTACTCAAAGGGGGCTTATCTGACTGCTATGCGGCGCTCATTACCTGCAGCCCTCTCCATCTGATCTCTGCCTGCAAAAGCCAGTAATAGATGTCGAGCCAGTCATTAACCTTCAGCTATAACTTCAACACACATAACATCTTTTAGAACACTGCTTAGTAAACTGCATTTCCATTGCCAGCCAGAGCTCCCTGCACTTAAGGCTTCTTGTATGGTTTCCTAGTAACCCAGCTTCCTGTTGTGTGCGGTTCCATTAGACAAACAAATCAAAATCAGGAAAACAAGCAAATTACAGAAGAAGAAGCTGCCAGAATTGCAGTATGTGCATGCACAAATATGCTGGAGAGGGTCATCTTGCAAATACAGACTAAGGCCTTGGCTACACTCGCGGATTCAAGCGCAAGTGTAGGCGCGCCGCCAGCACTGCGAGAGCTGTCTCGCAGCGCTGCAAGTACTCCACCTCTCCGAGGGGAGTAGCTTGCAGCACTGCGAGGGAGTGTGCAGCACTGCAGGCGCTGATTACACTGGCGCTTTACAGCGCTGCACTCGCTGCACTCAGGGGGGGTGTTTTTTCACACCCCTGAGCACAGCAAGTGCAGCGCTGTGAATTGCCAGTGTAGCCAAGGCTTAAGAGGCTCTCCGGCTCACTGCCTGCTTCTACCACACAGCAGTATAAATACTACTTGCTATGTGCAGGTACATTAGAAGGGATATTGCACTCCATGAACATTCAAGGGAGAAACCATGTTTGCAGCAAAACATGTTTTTACATGTATACAGCTTTATGCAGCTCATGGATGAGCCAGGCTGACAGCTCTCAAAAGGCTGCAGTCTGCCATTAGAGATGAGCTTGTGTAATTTGCAATGAATAATTTACAGGATGTCTATAAGCAGATCAAAATTTTCTGGAAATATATTCATTACTGGCATTTCTCAACCAATTTCTTTGTTTTTTGCTTAGTGTTTTTTCTGTTGATTGATGGTTAATGGTTCACTGGGTTTGATACTTAACATTCTGTATTCAAGCTCTGTTGGTGAGTTCTGACTGGTCACATAAGTCATCTGAGTATTTATTATGTTTTCTGATTGAATCAGCATAACTCAACATCAGGAGGCAGGCTCAAGAAACACACTAGAGATGCTCAGGATGGGTCTAGGCTAGAAAATTGCACTGGTGTGACGGACAGGGTGCAAACTGTAACAGTGCAGACCATCCACACTGGGCATCCTAGTTCTGGTGCATACAGAGCACCATATCCACGTGCGTGCGCGCGCACACACACACACACACACACACACACACACACACAGAGCCTCATATGGCATTTGCTGCAAGTGCTGCAGGGTCTCTCAACATTTGCACCTACCCCACAACTCTCCATGCAGCTCCCTGCAGCAGGTACCTAATGTCTAAAGAACTCTTACACCTGTTCACGATGGATCTGTCCATCACAAGGAGCAGCATACTTGCAGGTGGTGTGGCAGAGAGTTTCCAACCTTTTCTCAAGCTGCTGCCAGGTGGAGTCTGGGCCGAAGAACTTATTTTGGGCATTCTAGACACTTTTTTCCTGCTCAGCTTTGACCACCTGTATTTGACACAAGCTCTCTCTCTCTCTCTCACACACACACAGACACACACAATCCTGTCACTTCCTAGGCACACTTCCTAAGCACTTCCATTTCCACCCTGCATTCCTAACAGGTCTAGTTCTGCTGTTTAATAATCACATTCAACATATGCATTCAGCACAACTAATGGAGTTTAAAATGTCATTTGTATAATTCATCTTACATACACTGAACCCAAACCTCCGCTGCTGTAAATCAGTCTCTATCTGCTGAAATCAACGAAGCTACACTGATTTATACCAGCTGAGTATCTGGCCTGCTAAGTTGCATTTTAAAATAAAAAGTAGTTTACACTTTAAATCCTTTAAAATCTTGAAAGTTTCAGCTGGAAGACTACCAAGGCCTCCTATTACAAAGAGCTAAAAATGAGCCCAAGTGCCAGGAGGTTCTTCATTTTAGGATTCCACGAAATGCCATTTACACCCACCTGTACATTGGCACATACAGACTCGGGCACTTGATACTTCATCTCACTGGCGGTTCGCTGAGATTTTGGCAACAGGAATGGGTAGGACAGGGATCTGTATTTGGGCTTCATGATCTTCAAAAGAAAAAAATGGAGGATGTATTTTAAAACACATTTTCTTCAGATTTTTATGCTGAAGACTTTTACTGTTTTTATGCTCCTCTCTTAATACACAAAAGTGGGGGGGAGAGAACGTAAAGTTTTTCATATTCATAAACTCAATTCCTGTTCTGAATGGTTCTGAAAATATCCATGAATTCTGTACTTCTTCTTGAAATGTGCTCTCAGTATCTTGAAATTAACACTCATACCAAAAAGTCTGTGCAGACGTCAGGCTAACAGTATGTTAGGTCTATTCTTTGCCATGCATTTGCCGTTTGAATGCACATTTGAATATCATTCAGGTTTTGGTCAGGCGAATATAACCACAGGACTATCCTTGTTCTAAAGGCCCACCATAACTGGAAAGGACACATTTCTGTCTGAAAAAGTCATACCGACCATTGTTCGAAGTAGGACCTAAGATCAGGGCTTAAAAAAACATACTGGATATCCAGTCGCCTAAGTAGGCCTGCTCCAGAATGAGCCCTGACACTTCCCAAGCCACACCACCTCCCTTCAATTTGAAGCATAAAACAGTCTTTAATCTTTAGGCAGTGATGAGCTTCAAAACAAGTATCAAAGCACTTCTTCTTCGGGGTGGGGCAGAAACATCAAAACAGAGGGGAGAGATAGAAAGAAGAGTGGGGAGCAAATGAGGAAGAACAGAGGGACTCTGTTGCTCCATTAGTCACCATCTTCCTTGGCAACAGGGCCTACTGGCCTGGTCCCCAGTGTGGGTTGTATTCCTGCCTGCCCAAGGCTCCCTCATCATCACGGAGGGTCCTTATCTGATGGGATCCTAGCCAGTCCTCTCCAGTGGTGAGGACCCTATGTGCTTGCTAGTTGAGTCCTAGTGACTGGATCCCCAGGAGGCCAGGGCTTCTCTGGTGATTGGATCCTTGTTGGTCCAGGACTCCAACATGGCCTCCACTGGCAGGTTCCCCTGGTTTCTTGGCCCTGAAAATCCTGGTTATTGCTAGTTTGCCCAGGTGGCTGGATCACCCAGCTGTGGCTTTGGCCTGATGGCCCTGGTCTTCCTTGCTCCCCTTGGCTGTGGGATCACCGACTGAACTGCTCCTTGTGCCTGTCTGCTGCTTCGCAAGAGGGCACATTCTTGGCTCTTGTGTCCCTCCCAACCAGCCAGCAGGAACTGCTAGAATAGCAGCACAACGGCACTCGCCCCTTGGCTAACAACATCCCAGACCTCATTCTCCTTTCACACCATTTTCCACCTACTAAATTCAAATTATACCTTATTTACACTGGTGTAACAGGAGAATGAGAGCACCTATCTTCATTACTTGCTGTCAGAGACACAGTTTTTCAGTGTTACTTGCTGGGACATTAGGGCAAGCAAATATATACTTTACTGGCCCAATCCAGCAAACCTTGACTACCTGGCATGGCACTTATTCCTGCATATAGCCCTATGTGAGGCATCTGCGAAGCATTCAGATTTGAGGGCTTGCAGGATCTATCTCATTGCACACCTACCTTTGTGAAGTTCCAGCGCTGAATAAAGTGTCGAGCAACATCCCGTGCAGCTTTGCCATGCACAACGGATGAAATATCATGCCATGGCATTCTGGGTGTGGTGTATCTGTCAATGAAATCTATATGGACAGGGAAAAATTGCTATAGTTCATCTCAGATCAGTATCAGACATTAATTAAGAATATCACAGCATCTCTTCCTACAAACGGAACCTTTCCAGAAATAAAAACTAACAAATTAGGAGTTAAAATTGAGGACAGGTCAGCTTGTGGGGGCTGGTAGGCCACAAGCTCACTTATCCATTATTGTCATAGGATATCTGTTTTTATTATCTTACTTTGGGATTTTGCTGCCTCTTCCCAGCAGCCAGACCAGGTGGGTCTCGTTAGCTCCAATTCAGGAGGGTAAAAAGGCAGAGAAGCCTTCTAAGGCAGTAGAGGACCTAGGGAATGAGACAAACTGTCTTGCAGGGGAAAAAGTTGGTTCCAGATTGCAATGGCACTTACCAGCAAAGGGTTTGTCGAGTTGAACCCAGTCTTTAAAGACGAAATTGCAATAGTCCTTTCCATGCCAGAACCTGGTCTCCCCAAGAAGTTCTCCAACACCTGTCTTCAAGCTGCGGATTGATCCTTTATCTGTCAGGTTTATAAAGTGACAAAAACATATGCTCTAAGGTTGTTTTTAAGACTGCTCTCAACACAGCTCAGATGAGAATTGCACTTGAATAAAAAACTATCGGCACAACTTGCCAGTTTTAGTAAGCTAAAGTAATTTTCCAGTTAAGTCTCTGTGTTTCCCTTCTCCAGTATAACACATCTGGTACACAATCAAGGGAGATTATATTAACATGTCTTGTTGTTGGTAATGGAAGCTAGATCTGAATCCTTTCTGCACTAGATTGAAAATTTACCCTTCAGCTATTTGTCATCCCACAATAACCTGCAAGGAAGGATACCTACATTGAAAGCATTAACAATTGTAATTCTGCTCTCATATACCACTGACTTCAGTGGGAGGTGGGACTTTATATCTGTGTTCAGAAGAGAGTACTACTCCTGTATATTTAGTTTGTACTAAAGTACAAATCAACCCTAATTGCAATTTTATATTTTATAAGATTTATGATTTTGACTCCACAAAAGGGTCTCTCCACTGTAATTTTAGCTAGCACAAAGATGGGTCTCTTCCCTTTTTCCAGTGCCTCTTTAAATAACTACTTCAGCTTCTGAGATTGTGTTACATGTTCAGCACGTGGATGCAGAATTTCAGTTTCATGGTGAAAAATTAGGGCCTACCATCCTTGCAATGACTTACATGCAAAAATTACTCCCATTCCCCCAACTCCTTTCTTGAAATTTATACCTCTTTTTGTGAATGCCATAAGCATATAAACGAGGAGTAGTGTGATCCCTTCCACATCCCTTCTAAAAAAACAGGAAAGCTCACACTGGATCAGATCTATGTTCTAACTAGTGTGATATCCTGTCTCTGACAGTGGCCTTTATCAGATAGCTCAGAGAATGGTTAACAACCCTGACTGGACAATTATGCCATAACGTATCTACAAGGAAAGTTTTTTTGTAACCCCACTTAAGTGATGAGCTTCTGTCCTGAAGCAAGAGGCTTGATGTCCCCTATACATTTTTATCCTATATATTTTATTTTTATATGATCTAGCCAAGGTTTACACCATGGGGATACTCAGCTCTCAGACAGTAACTAAGTATTTGGGATCAGTCACACTCACAGCCCAGATGGAGTGAAAAACCCTACAGTTATCTAGTCTCCTCTGCATTCCCCCATGACATGTATTCTCTCATGACAACTGACCTGTTCTGCACTGCCCCAGTTGCTGACAGAATTCTGCACTATCGCCTTCTTTGAGGTTTTAGTGCTAGTTCAAGGCGTGACAATCCCAAAGATGTTTAGGAACCTGAACTACTGCATCTAGTGTACTGTGCCAGCCAGGCTATCAGGCACTCACAAAAACTTTTTAATCACAACAATATTTTAGAAATATTCAACAATCCACACTAGTGACAATATGATAACCACCTACGGCAATATACACAAAGCACGTCTTGCCAGCACCGTTGGAACACCACAAAAGCCAACCCATGCCCAAAATGCCATGCAACAGGTATGCAACGTTGACACTCTAGTTACAGCCTTAGCAAAGCTACATCCAAACAGCACAGTTCTGCATGAGTTAGTGAGAGTACAGGTGGGGCAAGGAAATCACTGACAGTACATGCCGGAATACAAACATATGTAACATACATGTGAATGCTACAGTAGAATATGTTTTATGTACTGAGCTTATGTGATCACACATTGACTCATATGAATGAACATGTAAGTGGCCACTGTCACATATGGCAGTCCATATACATATGAAACACGTGTCCTTTTCATACACGTCTATATTTTATATAAAGCTGACCATTTACATCTTAGAAGACTATTATTGAATGAGTCCATAAAAGGAAAAGGTGGGCTCAGTGTCCAGTGTTTTGAAAAGTGACTTTCATTTTTTGGTGAGTAGCAATAGAGTTTTAAGGTCATGTCGACTGTAAATTTTCCACAATGTAGAAACTAAAATGCCAAAAATGCCAGTGAACTATGGTTATTAAATAAATGATAATTTCTACTCAACCAATATTCCGAGCATACACTGCTCACTAGAAAGGTATTTTGGTCCAAATTCTGCCCTTGGATTTGTATGTATAAATCCTTACAGATTTAAAGTACGGAGTCACTATTAAATACTTGGTTTGTAGTAGTGTTGTAGCCATGTTGGTCCCAGGATATTAGAGAGACAAGCTGGGTGAGGTAATATCATTTATTGGCTCTGATGGTGAAAGAGACAAGTTTTTGAGAACTTGTGTCTTTCACCAACTGAAGCAGGTCCAATTTTCCTGCTATTATTGGGAAGTCTCCTTAATGCTACAGAGGTCCCTTTAAATCATTTGTATCAGTGTTTTCCAGTGTCAGCTTTAAAACACTGCCTAACCTATGAAAACAACAAGGAGTCCGGTGGCACCTTAAAGACTAACAGATTTATTTGGGCATAAGCTTTCGTGGATAAAAAACCTCGCTTCTTCAGATGCATGCAAGCCTATGAAAACTCAGATTCAGTTCCACACAGTCACTCTCTCAGAAAAAATCGAGCCCTGCAGGCCAACAAAGTTGCGCTCTGTCAGACCGAGGTGAGGAGTGCAGAGTCTAGAGCTCTTCTTCGAGATCACGCTGGCTGTAACTGCTACATAAACGATCAGCTCAGCTTTCCTCTACATAAGCTCTTTTGATGAAGAAACAACCCTCCTTTGCTCTATAACTGAAATCAAAGCAACGTACATCAAATATGGATGGCCTACCCGTAAGAGAAAGGGTCCTTTCAGCAGCACAACCTATTGTCATTCCATGGATCAAAATACAGGTGATGCTGATATACTGATGATGTGCACTCTCCTACCTGTTTCACCCACCCACAGAAAACTCTGACTTGGAGAATGAAAGTGGCCAAATCTTCGGCTAAATCAGGGATCTCAAACTCAAATGACCACGAAAGCCACATGAGGACTAGCAGATTGGCCTGAGGGCTGCATCACTGACACCTTCCCCGCTGCCCCCACCCCCACTCTACCCCTTCCATGAGGCCCCGCCCCTTCCCCGCCTCTTCCCATCCCTTCCCCGCCCCCATTCCAACCCCTTCCCCAAAGTCCCCACCCCAACTCTGCCCCCTCCCTGCCCCTATTCCAACCCCTTTCCCAAATCCCCACCCCTGCACTGCCTCTTCTCTGTCTCCTCCCCTGAGCGCGCGGCTCCCCACTCCTCCCCCCTCCCTCGTGGAAAGCGCTATGTGCCGCCAAACAGCTGTTTGGCGGCAGGAAGCGCCTGGAGGTAGGCAGAGGAGCGGGGACGCGGTGCGCTGGGGGTGAGGGGGAGCAGCGGGTGAAGGGAGCTTGGCAGCCGCAGGAAATAACTCAGTGGGGGCACGGGGAGCTTGGCGAGCCGCAGCAAATAACTTTGTGTGCCGCGTGTTTGAGACCCCGGGTCTAAATGTAGGTCTGGAAGCGTTTACACGGTCATATTCATGATCTTTTGAAGGCTGTCTTCATGCACTGGGCTGACTTTAAAAAAAAATCCATTCTGGATTTAAAGATGTAACTAATTTCAGCGATATTCCCATTACTTTGCATGAGGAATACAGCTGGAATGGGCGGAGCTGTAGAACCAGAGTGAAACTTCCCAAGTGCACCCGCTGTAGTTGTTACGTATTTATCTTCTCATTGATGCAGCTTCCTAGAGTCTTTTACAAATCAGCCTGTGAAGAAAGTGATTCTACGAGGGCCTCTTTAGAGGGGAATATGACATAGATTGAAGGTAATACATATACCGAAGGTATAGAATGTCAATCCATAAACCCCACCTAACTCTCACCATGACTGAACAGCAAACACACCAACAGTAAAGCCTGCAGGTAACTCCACCTGGGTGGCCCTTCACTTACCGTCCTCACACTCAGTGAGCCCTTGTCTGGACCCAGTGGGATGATGAAATATTTTCAGGTGGGGTTTTAAACTCTGGATTAAATTCTGCTGGCTTCTACTAGGATTACAATAACCTGCAGAGAGTTGAGATGCTCCATTTACAGGAAAAGTGCATTAGAGCTTTTACCATATCAGTTACCCAATAATGTTTAAAATAACTTGCAGGACTTCAGTCCAATCAACTGTAGACAGTCTGAACAGAACATTAATAATGGTACAAAGACCGTGGGCCAAATACAGGACCTATTAGATTTTTGAGCACAGATCGGCAAATATTCATGTTGCAAAACCATCACTAATGTATGCTCATATTCTGAACTGGCTCTGACCATAGGCAAAGCATTCTCCTGCAGATCATTCCTACCAGAGACATGAGTAATCTTTGTAAAGTCTGAAATGCCCCCTAGCACAAAACGCCTCCCCAAAACAGCTCTTCCACTGCTTCAAAAGTGGAAGGCTTGCTGGTATGAATTCTGGCATTTGAGTGTGCCTATAGTGGCATCCTGTAACTTCAGTCATGCATAGAAGTAAATGTTGCGTTCACATATGCAAATTTTGACCTGATTTTCCTCTCTCTAGCACCAGTGTAAATCAGGAATAACGCCACTGAGTTAAATGAGTTAAAACCAGCGCAAGTGAGAGCATAATCAGGCCCATAATATCTTCGGAAATCCTGCTTCATTTGCTATAATGAATACGATGCAAAAATGCCGGTATCTCTGCCACAAATGTAAAACGTTCCTAGCACAAAATCAATGTACATATCTATACATACATCACAGCACATAACACACCACATACACTACACCATATTATAGCACGGTTTCTCCATTTGCGGTTTGGGGCTGTCCCGTAACCAAACTGAATGCCAGCCTTGTTTTGTGCCAGCTGTTTGTTAACCAAACACAGACGCATTTAAAGCAAACTCAAGGCTTCACTAAACAAAGTACCCTTCTAGCACTTTAGGAAACCATTAACTCTCCTCCCTAATTATATGCTCTGTAGGTAAGGTGGAGAAATATTACTTACCTGACTCACTGTCTATACTGCTTACACTATCAGCGTGGTGTAGGCCGTGCTTCTGGAGATGCTTATAAATGCTGAACCTGGAAAACTTTTTGGGTTTTCCTATTCCTTTCATTCTTGAAGAATCTAGTATGTCATCACTATTTCTGTGCTGTGGCAGGTTCCCCAGGGACTGAGTTTTCAGGGCTAAAGCTTCAGTGGACTCGGCTGTAGGCTTAAGACACAAAGGATACTGCTGAGGGTGATGAATGGAAGATTATCTATTTAAATTACAGGAGATCATTCATATCACAGGGATTGAAACATTCACAGGGCCAAGTTCTGCCCTACGACATGCAGACACAGCTCCCATCGATTTCACTGGGAACTGCAAATGCGTCTTACGGAGATGAACTTGGTGTAGTGACTATTGAGGGTTTGCTTAGCAGAAAACAAGCAAGTAAAAACAGTGCATTCTGCCATACACTGCCTGTAAAACTATTCTGGCTTATTGCATGTTTTCCAGAGGTCTTTACACAGGCTCCTTTTCATAAAAAAATAAATAAAAATTCTCTATTTAATTCCGTCACACAGGGCCAGGTTTTCAAAAGAGCTCAGTTCTGTCTTGTCTACACAAGCTCGGTTTTTGTCTATTTTAGCGACAAGGCTATGTCGACACAGCCTTGTTGCTAAAAGTCAGCGCGTGTAAACGCTCTTTTTCGGTACTTTGTCGGCACTTTTGCCAACAAAATACTTCCAGCCCCGGGAGCAGCGTTAGGTTTGTCGGCAGGAGAGTGCTCCTGCCAACAAAGCCGCATTCCCACTGCCACTTGCGTCGGCAAAATTTTTGTCTTTCGCACGGGGGGGTGGGGGGGGTTGGGATGGGGCAGGGCCAGGGGCGGGGAAAGGGTGGAGTCGGGGCGGGGCCAGGGGCAGGCACCCACCGGCGCCAGAGAAAGTTGGCGCCTATGGTCTTAACTGGCATGGCCTTTCTGGCAGCTGAAGGATTTGGTCCTAATAAGGGTCCCATTTTGTAAGCCACATTGAAGTCCACAGGAATTCTGCACATGCAAAGGCTACAGACTCATGCCCTAAAAATGCAGAAAGACTTGCTTATTTCCATTTTGCATGACTATTGCCTAGCGTACATGGCATTAAATGTTAACAGCCACATGTACAGAATTCACTCTTACTATGAGATTCACTGTAGATGTAGACTTTGTTCCTGCAATTCGTTTCACACTGCCAACGTCGGTCAGCCTGTGTTCATCATCATCCCACCTCCCATAGGCCAAGTCAATGCCACCAACGAATGCTACAGACTGGTCAATGACAACGAGCTTCTCATGATGGGCCCACAGGTACACTGAGGATGACACGTGATCTGGATGCCTCATCACCTAAATAAAGAAAAATCACTGAACTCAGCTGTTATGTAGAACAGTGCTTCTCAAAGTCGGGCCGCCGCTTGTTCAGGGAAAGCCCCTGGCGGTCCGGGCCGGTTTGTTTACGTACTGCGTCCGCAGGTTCAGCCAATCACGGCTCCCACTGGCCACGGTTCACCGCTCCAGGCCAATGGGGGCTGGAGGGAAGGGCGGCCAGCACATCCTTCAGCCCGCACCGCTTCCAGCAGCCCCCATTGGCCTGGGACGGCAAACCGCGGCCAGTGGGAGCCGCGATCGGCTGAACCTGCGGATGCAGCAGGTAAACAAACCGGCCCAGACCGCCAGGGGCTTTCCCTGAACAAGCGGCGGACTGGCTTTGAGAAACACTGATGTAGAAGACCCGAAACAATTTTAATTAAGATATTATTTAATATCTTTGCCCAGAAGGCCACGGGGCTTTAGTTTGACCAATAATACCTACCAATGCCCAAACATAAAGTGCTTTTTTTAGGACTTTGTCTACATTAGACAGTTGTACCATTTTAACTACACCAGTATAGTTAAAGTGGTACAACTCGCCTAGTGTGGACACATTTACAATGGTATAAAGGTGCTTTCTACTGGTACAGATATTCCCTTTTAGGAAGGGGAATAACTATACTAAAATGAGTCACCTTTATGCTGATATGGCTGTGTCCACAGTAGGGCTTTTGCTGCTCTAACTATTTCAGTAAAAAAGCTGGCCATTTCGTTTGATAGTTAGTTTGTTAATGGCTATTTCAAACCATAGTAAATGAGAGGAGAACCAGGCTCATTTTCTTTATTTCTGAAAATGAAAGAGTGTGATAGATAATTTCAACATTTATTTATTTCAAAGCACAACTGCAAACATTGACTTGAGTGGAGTCATGCCTGGTTTTAAAACCACTGGCGATCAGAACCAGGCCCAATATATTTTGGCATAAATGGATGCTGAGGAATGTGGATATAAGTTCACATATTTTGGTACATTTTTTTAAGGCCAGACTCTTAGCTAGCTCAGTCTGTGTGTGAGCAGAAGGTTTTCTCAGACCCACATCTGAGTGCAACCTTCCACTTGCTCTAACTTCATTAACTTGCCATATAAAACAAAATTCTTTTGAACTAGGTGAATGTTTTGTTGATTAATGGAACCTTGTCAAGGCTAAGCGAAATATATTTATATACAATTATAACTTACAGGTACCTGAGCTGCCACAATCAAGTACTAGTGCCCATTATGGAGTAGAACCAGATATGGATATGTCTTCGAAAAATATTCTCCCTTGTAATGGTGATTGCAAACTGCATTTCCCATTCATTGTCATGAGTTTCCTCATCTCTCGCCCAAATTTGGGGAGCTGATGCTAGACACACAGGGCAATGAACATGCATGTATTTCATAAAGGTTACATGGTATATGAATACCTTGATGTTTGGATGTAGACGCATTAGGGTCCGCTTGCTGTATTCACTGTTGATTCCTAGAGCAAGCTCCACTTCTTTGTAGAGCATTACAAAAATTCTCACTCCTTGTTGCTATTAGAAAAGAAAGTAAATACATGGCAAGCACATATTTAAATGGGTATAACAACAACAAAAGCAAGAAAACCCCAGACTTCTAGATTCAGTGGGATGGTAGGCTAAGGGAAGTGCACATGTTGTTCTTGTGGGAAAAGCTCAGGTTGAGATCATACATCCAACAGGTCAGTTCCCGGTCAGAGGCTCCCAGATTGATCCTGAAATGTGCTGAGCAAACTCAGCTCCCATTAACAAGAATGGGAATTGAAAGCTCAGCAGCTCACAGGAGGCACCGAGCACCTTGGGGGATTGGACTCTTCCCTTGTGAGAAGTTCTGAGGGATTTTCTGTAATGATGTAGTCAGGGCCGGCTCCAGGCACCAGCCCAGCAAGCAGGTGCTTGGGGTGGCCAACGGAGAGAGGCGGCACGTCCGGCTCTTTGGAGGCAATTCGGCGGCGGGTCCCTCACTCCCTCTCGGAGCGAAGGACCACCAGCCGCCGAATTGCTGCCGAAGACTGAAGCGGCGGCGGTAGAGCAGATCGCGATCATGGCTTTTTTTTCTTTTTTCTTTTGCTTGGGGCGGCAAAAACCCTGGAGCCGGCCCTGGATGTAGTGTAGGATTTTTCTGACACAGGCTGATCTCACCTATGCCTAACTCAGACCTCTGGACTACAACGCCAAGAAAGCCAGCTCGCCCTGCCTGAATTTGTAAGATCAAGTGAGTGAAAACATTTTAGGTTTTTTAGGATATTTTATTTGCAGGAATTGTTTGAGTGAAGATATTGAGACAGAACCCTCAGCTTGTTCATCCCTAATACAGTGGAAGACTTCAGCTTCCCTTTCCTCTCAGCGCTTCCCTGAAGAGTTAGCTGTTCAATCTGGACTTCACCATGTGAAGCAGCGGAGGGCCTGGAGGTGCCATTATACAAACAGATACGAATACAGTCCCTGCTCTGAAGAGAATACAACACAAGAAATAGCACCATGAGATTGTAAGACCACAGACACTGACTTTTAATGCATTTCCAAGGGACTGGACGTCAGGTTGCCAGTGTCCCTTCAAATTGTGTAGGACTCCTCATAGCCTTCAGAAGGGCATTATTGTGCAGATGTGTTTCAGAACATGTGCTACATGAAAAATATTTCACTTTGAGTCAGCACCAATCTTACAACAGGTTCCTTTACTTTACACATTTCTAATGTGCCTTTCGGAGGCTCAGTTCTGCCACCCTGACTCACACTGAGTACTATCTTCCTCTACATGTCTATCTTCTATTGGCTTGCATACTTCTCTTAGCAGTTTGGCCACACATATGGGGCCAGATCCTGAGCTACTGCAAAGCAGTGTAGCTCCATTGACTTCAGTACAGCTATGCCAATTTACACAAACTAAGGATCTTTCAAAAAGACAGTAACCTGCATTTCTCTAAAGCGTCTATTAACAGTTTAGACCCCCTCCATGTTATGGGCCATATTCTACCCACCAATCCAATGGCCAATGAAGTCCAGGGAAGTGCTTTGTAGACATCAGAGGATAGCTTTGCTCCTATATAGTTACCAGCCACTTACGGCCCTAGTATGTCAATTATTTCTTCTACACACTACGCAAATACTTTCATGCTAGGAACACCTATGTTGATATGGAAAATAAAGCTAGATTCTTTCAGTGGGCATGACCTGTTTTATGGCAGTTGGAGCATATACAAGAACATAAGAATGGACACACTGGGGCAAACGAATGGTCCATCTATCCCAGTATCCTGTCTTCCAACATTGGCCAGTGTCAGATGCTTCAAAGGGAATGAACAGAACAGGGCAACCGTCCAGTAATCCATCCCCTGTCATCCAGACCCAGCATCTGACAGTCAGAGGCTTAGTGACACCCACAGGGATGTCACCCCTTACAATCTTGGCTAATAGCCACTGGTGAACCAATCCTCCATGAACTTATCTAATTCTTTTTTGAATCAAGTTAGAGTACTGGCCTTCACAACGTCCCCTGGCAACGAGTTCCACAGATTGACTGTGTGTTGTGTGAAGAAGTACTTCCTTTTGTTTCCTTTAAATCTGCTATTAATTTCATTGGGCGATCCCTCGTTCTTGTGTTATGTGAAGGGGGTAAATAACACTTCCTTATTCACTTTCTCCACTCGGTTCATGATTTGATAGACCCCTATCATTACCCCCCCTCAGTCGTCTCATTTCCAAGCTGAATCATCCCAGTCTTTTTAATCTCTCCTTATATGGAAGGTGTTCCATACCCTTAATCATTTTTGTTGCCCTTCTCTATACCTTTTATATTTCTAATATATCCTTTTTGAGATAGGGCAACCAGAACTGCACACGGTATTCAAGGTGTGGGAGTACCATGGATTTATATGGTGGCATAATGATGTTTTCTGTCTTATTATATATCCCTTTCCTAATGGTTCCTAACACTGTTAGCTTTTTTGACTGCCACTGAACACTGACCAGATGTTTTCAGAGAACTATCTACAATGATGCCAAGATCTCTTTGTTGAGTGGTAATAGCTAATTTAGACCCTATTATTTTGTATGTAGAGTTGGGATTATGTTTTCCAATATGCATTACTTTGCATTTAATCAACACTGAATTTCATCAGCCATTTTGTTGGCCAGTCACCCAGTTTTGTGAGATCCCTTTGTAACTCTTAGCAGTCAACTTTGGACTTAACTATATTGAGTAATTTTGTATCATCTGCAAACTTTGCCACCTCACTGTTTACCCTGTTTTCCAGATCATTTATGAATATGTTGAACAGCGCTGGTTCCAGCACAGATCCCTGAGGACACCACTATTTACCTCTCTCCATTCTGAAAACTGACCATTTATTCCTACCCTTTGTTTCCTGTCTTTATAACCAGTTACTGATCCATGCGAGGACCTTTCCTCTTATCCCATAACTCTTTACTTTGCTTAAGAGCCTTCTGTGAGGGACCTTGTCAAAGGCTTTCTGAAAGTCCAAGTACACTATACCTACTGGATTGCCCTTGTCCACATGTTTGTTGAATTCTCCTCAAAGAATTCTAATAGACTGGTGAGGCACGATTTCCCTTTACACAACCCGTGTTGACTCTTCCCCAACAAATTGCGTGCAGCTATGTATCTGATAATTCTGTTCTTTAGAATCATAGAATCACAGGACTAGAAGGGACCTTGAGAGGTCATCTAGTCCAGTCCCCTGCACTCATGGCAGGGATAAGTATTATCTAGACCAATGGTCTCCAACCTTTTTATGCACAAGATCACTTTTTGAATTTAAGATGAACCCAGGCTCTACCCCGCCCCTTCCCCAAGGCCCTGCCCTGCTCACTCCATTCCCCCCTCCCTCCGTCGCTCGCTCTCCCCCACCCTTACTCACTTTCACCAGGCTGGAGCAGGGGGTTGGAGTGCGGGAGGGGGTGCAGGCTCTGGGCTGGGGCTGAGGGGTTTGGAGTGTGGGAGGGGGCTCCAGGCTGAACCCGGGGCAGGGGGTTGGGCTGCAACAGTGAGGGGTGCAAGCTCTGGGAGGGAGTTTGGGTGCAGGGGTCATATGATCACCCTGCACCTAATTTCATAGAATCCACTATACATTTCATGAGTTTTACTTTTTATTAGTGTCATTTGTGGTTTATAGATCCAAAATCCTTCAGGGATTGTCACAAATCAGTGTAACATTCTCAACTGTGGGGTGTGCATTGGCTGAGCCTGGGGAAGGGGGTTGGGGTGCAAGAGTGAGGGGTGTAAGCTCTGGGAGGGAGTTTGGGTGCAGGAGGGGGTTCCGGGCTGGGGCAGGAGGTTGGGTGTGGGGGAGGGGTGAAGTGCAGGGTCTGGCTGGGAGGCGCTTACCACAGGCAGCTCCTGGTCGGTGGCGCAGCGGGGCTCCGGCAGGCTGCCAGCCTGCCCTGGCCCCATGCCGCTCCCAGAAGCGGCTGGCTGCACCCCTTCTGCACCCAAACTCTGTGGCCCCTGGGAGGGAAGGGGGACAGTGGGTCTACGTGTGCTGCCCGCACCCGCAAGCGCTGTCCCCGCAGCTCCCATTGGTCGGTTCCACAGAGATGTGCCAGCAGCCAGCCGCTTCTGGGATCGGCGTGGGGCCAGGGCAGGCATGCAGCCTGCCAGAGCCCCGCTGGACTTTTAGTGGCCCGGAGATTGCGATCGGCTGGCAGAGGCTCCAGGATCAACCAGTCGATCGCAATCGACCGGTTGGTGACCACTGATCTAGACCATTCCTGGCAGGTGTTTGTTTAACCTGCACTTTAAAATCTCCAATGATGGAGATGCCACAACCTCCCTAGGCAATTTGTTCCAGTGCTTAACCACCCTGACAGTTAGGAAGTTTTTCCTAATATCCAACCTAAACCTCCCTAGCTGCCATTTAAGCCCATTGCTTCTTGTCCTATCCTCAGAAGTTAAAAAGAACATTTTTTCTCCCTCCTCCTTGTAACAACCTTTTATGTACTTGAAAACTGTTATCATGTCCCCTCTCAGTCTTCTCTTTTCCAGACTAAACAAACACAGTTTTTTTAATCTTCCATCATAGGTCATGTTTTCTAGACCTTTAATCATTTTTGTTGCTCCTCTCTGGATTTTCTCCAATTTGTCCACATCTTTCCTGAAATGTGGTGCCCAGAACTGGACACAATACTCCAGTTGAGGCCTAATCAGCACCGAGTACAGCGGAAGAATTACTTCTCGTGTCTTGCTTACAACACTCCTACTAATACATCCCAGAATGATGTTCCCTTTTTTTGCAACAGTGTTACACTGTTGACTCATATTTAGCTTATGGTCCACTATGACCCCCAGGTCCCTTTCCGCAGTACTCCTTCCTAGGCAGCCATTTGCCATTTTGTATGTGTGCAATGATTGTTCCTTCCTAAATGGAGTACTTTGCATTTGTCCTTATTGAATTTCATCCTATTTACTTCAAACCATTTCTCTAGTTTGTTCAGATCATTCTGAATTTTTATCCGATCCTCCAGAGCACTTGCAACCCCTCTGAGCTTGGTATCATCCGCAAACTCTATAAATGTACATACCATTATCTACTTTACTATAGTTATCCATTTACTATAGTTTCAACCAGTTTGCCTGGGACTGATGTTTGGTTTACCAGCTTGTAATTGCCAGGCTCGCCTCTGGAGCCTTTTTTAAAAATTGGCATCAGATTAGCTATCCTCCAGTTGTCTGGTACAGAAGCTGATATAAGTGATAAGAAGATCATTTTAAAATCAATAAAGTTCTTTAGAGAAAATTAAAGAAGAAAAATGTTTGTCTTTTTTCTTTTGGCTACAAAAAGGACTATTGTGGAATGGGAGTATATGAGATTATTTTAAGGTTTCCACCAAGGCTTCTGCCCCTTTCACACATGACTGCATGGTCTTCAGTTGGCCATGCGTTCCTATTGAGTCCCTGGTAATATCTTCCAAAGCAGCAACTCAACACCAGTATTTTCATTAGTTGGACCAGGGCAAACCTGCTGAAAATGCAGTCCAGTATTATAGAAAATCACGTTCAGCTCTGTGGCTCCATTGCTCATTCAGAGACATGAACAAATTCTTCAGGCTGAGTACACAGACCTGTTATTGCAGGAGGAACATTCTGGAACTGACAACAAACACATCACTCTATTTTCCAATCTCAGTAGCTTGTGAGATTTCTGAAATACTGGAGAAATTAAAACAGGTTCAACAGGTCTGGTGATGCTGTTCCTTGTCCCTAAGTGCTAACACACATGTTTGGACGCACAGCCTTTCAGCATCTCAAAGCATCAGTCATACAAAAAGGCTGCACTGGAGACAAGGAAGGGCATCAAGTCATCAGCAGTTTGAAATACTTCAAACAAGGACGGAGGGAGAGAGAGAGAGAAAGAGATTATAATAGAAGGACAAGTCTTAAATATAACAAAGCTATCAGAGCATAGAGGCCTGCTATGCACCCATTTGCTTATTCTGCCTCTGTTAAAATGTGAATCAGAGTTCAGGACTCTGAGTCATCTTTATGATTATATTGTCTGCAAGTTCCACATCATGTCTAATTCAGAGGAACCTGACCCAGTTTGTACGTGTTCATATCTTACATCATTTATACTTTTAAAACCCCTCAATTCCCTCTAATGACACTATGTACTTGGGTACAACATCCTACCACTCCCTGCCCCTCTCGGCTTAGCTGCAATGGGGAGGAGCAGGCCAGGGGCTCCTGCTCCCCTGCTGACAGCTAGTGCCACAATCTGAGCAGAGCTAAGCAGGAGAGTAAGGGCTGGCCTGACACAACTGGCCTTACTCCCCTTTTTGACCAAGCAAAGGATGTGATAATATAGGGATGGGGGCAAAGGAATGATGTAGTAGGATAGGGACAGAAAATGGGGGCAAACTACCAAAAAAGAAGCTCCCAGTGTTTCTCCAGTCAGATTAACACATGTCACATTTAGAGAGAGAAAGTTTATCACCTTCCTGCCTTTTTTTGGGTGGGGCCTTGTCCACATAAGTCTCCACTTCACTAGAATTCCTCACTGTTGCTCTCATTGGTGCAGTCAAACCAGCAGTAACAACAGCGAAAGTGCTAGTGTATACAGGGCTTCAGACAGCTGCAGGCAATTTAACAACTCTCACTAAACCTGCTCTGAGCAGGGCCTGGGTGGAACGGCACTGGTGCTAACAGTGTCGGGAAATGCTAAGAGCAAGTCTATTGCAGACAGGCGTTTCCTTACTAAAATAAGAAATATCCTACCCTGCACACAGTAGCTCACTGTTGTAGTGCGTGACTTTCAGTCGTTAAACTGGTTAAGCGAAAACCTCTAGATGTACACAGAATGGACCCATTTCGCATAATTCATCTTTACAAATTGATAACCTGATAAGCCCCCTCTAATTTAGACATACGTTATACACACCACTGAATGACTCTCTAAGGAGATCTTTATCTCCTTGGTAGGTGGGTGGCACCACCAGCAATTTAATAAGAGCCAGTTTTGGAAACAGATGCATATATCATGAATGAAGGGCACTGTCTCTGCATGGCCACCCCCGGCAGACTGGTCACCCCCGTGGGCCAAGTGTAGCCCTGGTGTGACTCCAGTAACTGCAGGGAGAAGCCTGGCCCAATGTCTCTTAATTACCTACACCGAAGAGGGAGAAGAGCTCGGGGGCAGAGCAGGAGCAGCTGTATCAATGCCCCAGGAACCTGGAGCAGCCACTGGGGGAGAGAGAAACAGCTCCTCCCCTATGGAAAAAAAGTTATTGGGGATATTTAGGAAGTTGCACTGGTGCTGTGCCCTGGCATCCCCACAACCCTCCATCTGAAAGCTGAGCCAGCTGAATCAAGTAGGGAATGAAACACGTCCTCCCTCCAAAAACTGCAGCAGAGCGGGGTGCAGTGCTGAATGTCACTCAGCTGGTTGGCTACCAGCCCAGGCCCTCAGCACTGAGCTTCCTCCTCCCCTTGCATCTTTGATCTGTTGCTGCTCTCGCTGGCCCTGTCCCCCTGAAATGATGCACGAGTCTACCTGGGTGGGACTTCTACCCGCACACAGAAAGAGGGAAGGGCAGGTCACTTAGGAACAAAAAGGGGCGAAGCTGCACTTTGAGACCCCCAATCCTGCAAGGAGCTGCATGAAGCTGCCCTGTGCCTACCTGGAGCCTTATCTTGGGATTCACAGCAATCAGGGCCTAAGCTAGCCTGTAGGCACAGCACACTTACCGCTTTCCGCTTGAGAATGCAGTCTAGTCTCCAACGATTTCCTTCTACCACGGGTCGCTTCATAAAGATTTCTGGGCTCAACCTAAAAAAAAAAGGTGACAAAAAGAAACATTCTGTGCTGTGAAAACTATGTGTAAGGTCAACTAATCCAGGGGTTCTCAACCCTTTTCTTTCTGAGACCCCCCCCCACCCCCAACATGCTATTAAAACTCCAGGGCCCACCTGTGGCACAACAACTGGTTTTCTGCATATAAAAACCAGGGCCTGTGTTAGGGGGTAGCAAGCAGGGCAATTGCCTGGGGCCCCACGCCACAGGGGCCCCTGTGAAGTTAAACTGCCCATGCTTTGGCTTCAGCCCAGGCTGGTGGGGCTCAAGGCCTTGGGCTTCAGCCCCGTGCAGTAGGGCTTCAGCTTTCTGCCTTGGGCCCCAGCGAGTCTAATGCTGGCCCTGCTTGGCAGACCCCCTGAAACCTGCTCGCGGCCCCCGGACTCCTGGTTGAGAACCGCTGAACTAATCGACTCCAATAATGGTTGAGAAACTAAAGAGTTTATTCATTAGGTGTGAAGTCTGCTCTCCCATGATTTATTTTTTAACAGAACTGTTATTGATTGCTTTTTAACAATGGTGCCGTATATAACAGCTGATGTGTCCCATGTGTAGCACAGAGGCCACTGACCTATCATTGACAGGGATGAGGTTATTGCATTCAGCACCCAGTGGGACCAGACTGAATGGTGATGCATCAGGTAGACTCCATAAAGAAAAGAGTAAGTTCTCATGCAGAAAAAATATACTCCTGGTAGATAACTTGGGGGTTAAAAGAAAACACTCAGGACTTCAACTATCCTGACACCTAGACTATTTGAACATTTCAGATTTGTACAGTTTTTTTCCTTGCTGCCTACCCCAGAAGATAGGGTGCCATTCTTTCACATCAGGATAGCATTCACTGATACGCAGATTTTAAGGCCAGAAGGGACCATTAGATCATACAATCTGCCCTTCTCTATAACAAGACCACAAGAATTTCATCCAGTTACTCCTGTATTGAGCCCAGTAATTTTGACTAAAGCATATTGCTGAAAACATGCTTCTGACAGCAACATTTCTCTTCCTAAGCTTTTGTAACTTCCCAGTAAGTTTCGCAATCCCAAGTTATGATAACAATTGACTCTTGCCTTGTATAAGGCAGGAGACACCGGGACTGAAATGTAATTTTCCAGTTGTCTGACACAGTGTGTGCTGAAGCTTCAGCAGCATATAGTTTATTTATAAGTGTTTTAGGATTCAGATTCATGTCAGTGAAGGTTAATATAATGCTTTGCATTCCTATAGGACTGTTGAGAACCAAAACGTGCTTTACAAACATGACTGGGTCAAGCCTCAAAACACCCCTAAGAGGTAGGGAAATAATTATAGGCCCACTTTATAGATGAAGAAACAGAGGCACAGAAACATTAAGTGACTTGTCCAAGGTCAGACAGGAAAGCTATCCAGACATTCTAACTTTTAGTCCTGGGTGCTGATCACAAGACCATCCCTTCTCAGGTAGAAGGTGTACCAGCTGCAAGTACAAGATAAAACAAGCCCCGACAAGGAAGTAGCTGAGGGTAGTGCGCAATACTGAGCAGCCAAGCATCCGAGGCTAGGGAACGAGAGGAGGCGTATAAGAGGAGGCGTTGGTGGTGTGCTGAAGCTCGTGACAGATGACATCAGCAGGATGGCACAGCAGAAGCTGGCAAGAAAAGTACAAACGGCCAGTATTGGAATTGCATATGCACAGCACGCACCGGGGGGGCCAACATGGCCCACGCTGCAGCAGCACTATCACCACCAAATCCCAACAGAAGATTTCAGTGGAGCCCTTCCTGACTGCTTCCTTGCAGCCTCTTCTTTAACGTGTGTGGGGATGCCATTACTGAGGTACACTGCTACAGGTGAGCGGACTGCCCACCCTGCCTCTTGCTGACCTGAGTCACAGCCATACCCAATGGTATGACTCTTCTAGGGTGTGCACTGCAAAGTGTCTATTTTCTAAGCTGCATCATCATTCACACAACTTCAGGATTTTGCCCTCCGTGGCTAGCAATGGCCTGCATTAGCCACAGTGCCTGACACATACACGGACTGTACACAGGGAACTAGAGCTCCACAGCGACATCCAGCTGTGACGCTGCACCCCATGGTCTTAGTAAAAATACTGTTGTAATGTGAATATGGCATAACTAAGATGTTTGATGCAAGCTGGGTCATGTAAGGTATCATTGGAAAGGTTATGATTTGCTGAAAGTGGTTATCCGATTTGCATGTATGTGTAAGTTCTGTATCTGCGGTTAGGAATATTGACTATGTAACAATTACAACTGTGTGTGTATTTGGGGAATGCCCACCAGACAAATCGGCAATCAGCCTGAATGGGCCACTACGATAGGCAATAGAATGGGTCTTTGAAGATGCTGATTTCTCCTCTTCCTGGCCTGCCATGCAAGGTGGTGGCAGGGGGATGTCCTGCATTGCCTAAGTGGTGTACAAATTTGTACATTCCCCCTTGTGTTGAGAGATCTTCTGCTTCCCTGAGACATTCCCAGGGAGTTCCCAGTGAGGCTGTGCAGCACCGTTCCACTCTCAATGCAGGTGGTGCCTCACTGTACCATGCAGTCTTTCAAGGTTATCCCTCAGAAGGAGACACCCAAACTGATGATTTTAAGCATGCACTATTGCTGCCAAGTCTCCTGAAAAGGCCTTTGAATGAAAACCCTCACTGTGAGAGGTTTGGATGTGCTGCCAAACCATCTGGCATCACGGCTAGTTTCCATAATGTAAGGCCTTTGAATAGTGCAGCATTGTAATGAATGTTCTCACAGAGACTGCTGGACAAAATCCAAACGCAGGAATACGAACCACCAATCTGTGATGAAAATTTCTTCTTTCGCTGCCTCCATGGCATTTGCTACATCTTCAAAATACCCTTTTGCATTTACATACCTGAAAAAAAACCAAACACAATACTGGGATTTTTCTTTTAATTACATGGAGAATTCGTAGTTGGGGGGAAAATTTCAGTACTTTAAATGAGCAAATGAAAATATCGTTTAAATTCCTTTCTCAAAAGCAAACACGTTCAATTTCATGCACTAGGACAACATGAAAGGAGAATTTCACATCATTGTTAATATCTTAATTAAACCAGTACAATCAAATATTGTTATGGCAACAGGCATGACCGGGTGGCCCTGTTATACGTAGTCTTCCACATTCTTTTTTTCTTAGTGCGTGAGCAAGTTTTGACTCTTGGAAAGATATGTAGCGGTGGTGTTAGTTTTGGGTTATGCAAGGTTTTGATGTAGAGGCAGCTTCAGGGGATAGATGGAGCTGTGTGAGTAGCAGGAGAGGTTGCTCTCTGCCTTGGGCTATGATTGGAGTCTTTGAGACAGAGTTCTCTGGGAACCAGAGAGTGGAATTGGACTGAGATGTGCAAGGAGGGGTTGCTCTGCATGCTGTTTGACCACCTCATTTCAGAACTAGTGCATGTGCATCAATAAACCAAGTTACATTTAGAATATACCCAGACTCCATGTCACTGATTTCAGCCCACTGGGAACCCCACCTGCAAGGCCTCAGATACGTTCAGCAGTGGACTGATACCACTGTCACAATGGGGCCCAGCTTTCAGGAGGGGCAACACGAGAATACAGCATTAGGGTTGGACCCTGCAAACACTTTCTACTGGATGTTGTGTTTACTTCTCTCATTTGAGATTGGGGAAGATGTGACCATGCCAGAATCAGAGCAGCTGCTTTATTGAGAGGCCGTTGAGAAGGGAGATGAAAGTGGTGCAGGATGAAATTTTCAAAAGCACCTAAGTCACTTAGGTGCTTTTGAAAATGTTACCCAAAACCAATAGTCAAGCTAAGAAGTGAAAGTAGCAGCTTCTAAAGTAAGGAGAGTGTTCTGTTCTCCATTCATAAGCATACTGTTTATTAGCTTTACTATGAGTTACATGTGCATCAAGATATCACTTTTATTCTGAAATTAATAAACCACTCATGTGGCCAATCTCAACAAAAATAAAAAATCTAACAGCTCTGATCACTGCAAAGCAAAGTCATAACAGGAGCGAAATGGTTATGCTACTAATCCTAACATTTTTCTGCAGATCAGACAAGGAAGAGGCATCTTTGATACTGCCATAGTGATTTATAGTGTCTAGACAGCGAATTCAAATACCCATGTTCTTTAAATGTGAATGATAAATCAGTAGGGCCATGACCTTGCTCCCACTGAAGAGAATGACAGCTTTGCCATTGATTTCAATGGGAGATAGAGCATATTCTTACTACTGCAGGGACCATCTTACCACTTTGCCAAAGTATTCTCCTGTATAGCTGCATACGACCCGAATCTGTGATGTGTTAGAAAGTTTTTGCCATTTTTCTGAATGAACTCTTCTATTCCCTGTCCCCACCATCGGGCATGTCTGTAGCTGTTACACTTCAAAATCAATGACCTGGAAAATAACCAAAGAACGGAAAACGAGTAAGCAGCGCACTTTTATTTAGCCTAGTTCTCACTATCGAACATGTTGATATGGGAATTGAATATCAATCACATTTTTTTTAATCAAAAGTGACCAATAGCTAGCTACTTAGCTGAGGTTTTTTTAAATAAAAAATATTTCAGCACCTAGAGACCACAGTTACTGACAACCTATAAAAACAACAGATAGATATTACCTGCATGTTTTGCACACCATGGACCAAATGTTGCTTACATTGGTGCAACCCCATTGATTTAAATGGGATAGCACCAGTGTAACTGGGAGCAGAATATGACATCATGGATGCTAAAAAATTTTAAATGACCATTTACACCCACTGAGGAACTGTCCCATTGATCTGGATTCTTCTCTTACAATAATAGGGTGGCTGGATTCTCCTGGCATTCCTCCCTGTTAGATGGGGTTGGAACCCTGAAGGGAGATGCTCATTGAACAGTGTTGGCTCACTGTAGCAGGTGCAAGTTGCTAACACATCCTGCATATAAGGGAATGGCCCCCTTTTAATTAAAGGAAGCCAATTTTTAAGTGAAAAAATGTACATTTCTCACCTGGAGAGATTGTCAATCCGTAACCCGTATTCTGTTTCAGTCTCTTTCTTGCCAATCTTAATGCTGAATTCTTTATCTACCAGCAGGACAAAGGAAATGGCTCCGCTATCCGTCTTCATATACATTAGGAAAGAGTCTTTCACTACTAACCACCTATAAGGGGAGATAACATTTATCTCAAATTCACTTCAAAAACGAGAGCCATCCACTAATATAAAGTGAACAGTAGTCTCCATGAGAGAACTCCAAGCCATTCATCATCAGGATCCAAAGCAGGCAAGGAAGGGTTTGTGACCTATTAGGGGCAGTTTCTTTGTAATATGGTTTACAGAGCTGGTGTCTGACTGTGCTCTCAGAGTGGAGTAAAACAGGAGTGACTCCACTGAAGTTAGTGGAGTTACACCAGTGTAAAACTGATGAAAAGGAAAGGAGAATCAGCCTCTGGAGAGGTGATTACAGCAACAGATGGTATACAAAATCCTACATTTGGATGCTCAAATCAGCAGTTAAGTGAGAGGAAGGATGGTGCAGTGGTTAGGGTGCTACATGGGGACTTGGGCAACCTGAGTTCCATTTTCTGCTTTGCCACAGAGTCCCTGTGTGACCTTGGGCAAGTAACTTAGCCACTCTGTGCCTCAGTTTCCCCATCTGTAAAACAGGGATAACAGCACTGGGACAAATACATTAAAAATTGTGAGGTGCTTAGACACTACAGAACTGGGGGCTATATAAGTATCTGTGATAGATACAAGTCCATTTTATGCACTTGAATAGTGATGTGCAGAACCAAATTCAGGTATACCATTACAGTGGGAACCAGGTTCTGTATGATCATATCCTATATAAGTCCTTGGAAATTTAGGCTTTAGTGTCTGGAACATTAATAGGAATATACCTGTTGGCCATCAGGGGTTTCCAGCCAAGTGGCTGCGTAATGGACAAGGTGGAGCAAAGATTCTCTTTTGGTAGCCTGCAATACCTGTGGGCACTGTGGGAGCCGCGCACTCTCGTTTGAGTTTCTCATGTGTTATTTATAAAGGCACTGAATCCTATTAAAGCTAATGGAAACTGTACAAAGAGGACATTTTGGAAAGGTTTCATTGCCAAGCAACAGGCATCACAGTAAAAAAACAAGATGAAAAATGACTAGCAGGTTGTGTGAGAGCACCACAGCCCTTGAGCACTCTGGAAAAAATATTTCCCTGTCAGTGTCCAATATTTTTGCCCTCTCTGTATACATATATATGAATGATGTGCCTAACATCCTCTCTCCTTCACACACAAGTGAATCACTCACATGGCCTTAGTCCAGATCTTTGTTCATACAAATGAATGCACAAGGAAAGAGAATGTATTTTTAAACCAATTGCAAAGACATATTAATGACTGTATCTTTCATGGCATCCTGAAGTGTTATGTTGCTGGGCCCAATTCAGTTCAATTGCTCCATGTTCAAACTGTGCAGTGCTCCCAGGTTAGTTTTCTGAGCACGACGCTCATCACATAGTAACAGGGCATAGTCAGGGCCAGCTTTAGGAATATGGGGGCTCTAAAGAGGTTGTTACTGGGGGTTCTGTGCTTTTCTTTTCTCCTCCCCCTTCCCTAGACTAAGACTAGCCATAGTAATCAACGTTGTAGATAACAACAGACTCCCCACTCTCACATCAAATTTGGGGCCCCCCATAAAATCGGGGGACCCCTGTCCCCTCGCTCACAGACTCCGTGGGTCTCGCAGACATTTTGATAATGAAAACAGAACAGAAACACAGGCGGCTCTGCTGACTTGTAAAGCAGCCTTTAAAAGAAGGAGCACTGTCTTTCTTACAAGCTAGAGTGTGCTCAATTTGCTTGTAATGAGGTGCTGGCCTCACAACCAAGTTGAAAATTACAGCTGAACTTCCAGAACTCCTCAGCCACATGACATTACAACAGACCTGACTTATAATGCTTTTGCATACCTCAAACGACTCGAACAGTGAAGTAGAATGAACGAACATCCCAATGCCCATAATATTCAAAAAGAGTAACTCGGGTAATAGAGAACTGCCACTTGTAGTGAAGCCGTTTGGTGAAAACAATGATTTCATTGTAACAGGGTCGCACTACATTCAGAAAAGGATCTTTGCATCATGTTTTCATACTGAACTGAATAGGGGCTTTGTGATGTGATTAAGGACAGTCTGGTGTTTGTCAGTGACAGAGGAAAGAGCTGGGAATCACAAAACCTTGACGCAGCACTTTTAACTACTTGGCACTAAACAAATTAGTGCATCCACCAGTGGCAAGGAGTATCAAGCATGGAAAATCTGACTCAGGACAATTTTAGTACTTAAGGAGAGGCACTGGAGAGACTGATTTAAGAATGGGGACTATGGATTGGCCATGAAATGTTTGCCAAAAAAAGAAAACCCAAATTGAGTAATTCAGATTTTGAGTTTAGTTTTTATGAATCCAAAGAGCAATGACTCTGAAAGGTGATTATAAAACCAGAACCTTCTTACTTAGCAAGTCTGCTCCACATGTGAATATCAGTGTAGTTTAATGACAAAAGTAAGTGTTCATCGCAGAGCCAACGTAGACAAGAGGAGGTGAACTGGATTCTATACCTTCCTGTGCATCAGATCATCAAAGGCTAGGTCTACACTACAGCGGACTTCCGACCTAAGATACGCAACTTCAGCTACGTGAATACCGTAGCTGAAGTTGCGTATTTTAGGTCGGCTTACCTGGCGGTGAGGACGCGGGAAAGTCGACCGCTGCCGCGCTGCCGCCGACTCTGCTACCGCCTCTTGTCGAGGTGGAGTTCCGGAGTCGACGGTAGAGCCATCAGGGATCGATTTTACCGCGTCCTCACGAGACGCGGTAAGTCGATCCCCGATAAACCGATTGCTACCCGCCGGATCGGCGGGTAGTGAAGACGTAGCCAAAGAACTGTGTACTAAGTTCCAATAAGTGCAAGCCCATTGAGGACAATGGAGTTGTATAGGTGGCTCTATACAATTACAGCACACAACCTTTATTACAGGTGATAATGAACAGGGAGGAAAGAAATCAGCTTAATTTTCAGATCCTGGTTGAATTTGTAAGGCTGGCAGTTAGGGAAATAAAACAAACAACATAAATGTGCAGATTTGATCTGGAAATTATTAAAAAAACATAGAACCACACAATGCCATTTTCACAGACACGTTTCAGAGCTCAACCACAAATTAATTAATTCATTAATTATTCTCTTCTAACAAAATATACCCTAGGCTTGGGTGTTTTGATAAATATGGAAAACTATATAAAAAATCAAATTTCTTCAGGATGGTCCAGATCTACAAATATACTCTCTTTGTAATATTATTGTTAGTTTATTTATATACATATGTTATGGTAGTCTCTATGGTTACTAGAGGCCTTGATCAGGGCTTCCTCATGCTAGGCAGTATATATGCATATAATTAAAAGAGATAATTCCCACCCCAAAGAGTGTACTTAAACTATTTCTGTACCACGGAGTAGAAAATGTACTCATTACAGAGGTAAACATTATGCATGGCTTCAAAGGGCCTGATCTCTGCATGGTATAATGCATTGTCTCTGATGGATCAAGCTGCATTTATGGAAAAATGGCAAAGAATACTAAAAACCAGATAGAACTTTGGAGGAATGAGCAACATATTTGGAAGAAGACCAAAACCTCATCTATCTGTGTAACCTTTCAGGAAAATTATTACAAAATACTTTGTCAATGTCACTTCACTCTATTTAAGCTAAGGAAATATATAAAAAGGGAGTCATAACTGTTGAAGAGGATGTGGAATAAGAAGGACCTTCCTATATTTATGGTGGGAATGCCTTAAAATAATCATATTTTGTGGGAAAATAGTAAACAGAATTTTTACTATTGTTACTATTACTAATGTTAGCCTACTCACTAAACTTACAGTGGCTCTATTAGGTTACAGTCCAAAGGAGGTTATTGAATCAGGGAAAGACTCACTGATATCATCCGAAGAAGTGGGTTGTAGCCCACGAAAGCTTATGCTCTAATAAATTTGTTAGTCTCTAAGGTGCCACAAGTACTCCTGTTCTTCTTGCGGATACAGACTAACACGGCTGCTACTCTGAAACAGTTACTTCTAGCAACCATATGTGCCGTAACTCAATTTTGGAAAAGGGTAGATGCCTCAACATTAGTAGGACGATGAAATAAAGTCCGAGAAATTCTTTCAACAAGAAAAATGACAGGCAGCCTTATATCAGGTAGAGTAGATTTTCTAATGTGTAGGCACCGCTTTTGGAATTTGAACAAAGTAAATACTCAGATAAGGATAACAAGAGGGAAATCTGTAAGATTTGTTAATATTTGTATGGAAAGTTCACATATGTTAAGAATATATATATATATTTAAGAACAGATTAGGCTGATGGAAGAGTATTTTAAACTCAGTTTCATACCATTTTGTTTAGTGAACTGTGGGTCTTTTCAGCTACTCATAATATATCTGGGGTACCAATGCATAAAATAAACTCTTGCCCCACTCCTTGTTCCACTGCTCAGCTGGAAAACTTGCTTCTCCTCCTATATTTGCTGTGCTGGAGGTCTCTGTGCTCCTTTGCAGTGGTTTGTACTTCTGGAGCAGGGAGGTCAGGCAGGAGCAGTCAGCCACAGCACTTGAGGGAGTACAGGGACTACCATTATGCCAGGAGGCAGGGGGCTTTTAACACATGTGACAAGGGAGGGCCAATGAGTGAAAAATGTGCTCACAGAATCATAAAAGATTCCGATTGGAAGAGACCTCAGGAGGTCATCTAGTCCAACCCCCTGCTCAAAGTAGAACCAACCCCAACTAAATCATCCCAGCCAGGGCTTTGTTAAGCCGGGCCTTAAAAACCTCTAAGGATGGAGATTCCACCACCTCCCTAGGTAACCCATTCCAGTGCTTCACCACCCTCCTAGTGAAATACTGTTTCCTAATATCCAACCTAGACCTCCTCCACTGCAACTGTCCCTAAATAATTAATAAACTTGTTGCCTTTGCTGATGGCAGCCAGCGACCAGAGCCATTACTTACATTGGGCAGAGTTCTGCCTGACAGGCACAGCCCTGAGCCGGGAAAAGTGCAGAACAGCCCTCCAGTCAACCACCCCATGGGAGGGATCTCTCCAGTGCATGGGGAGCAATAGAGGCTGCCCCCTGACTTATCTGTTAGGCTGGTACAGTAGGCATCTTTCTCTGTGCCCTGCCATCTCTGCTGGCTGGGGGAGGGAGGGCACCCCTCTCTGCCTCCTTTGGAGTGGTCTGTGGGTGTAGGCAGAGAGAAGCAGTCAGCTCCAGCACCTGAGCAAGCACAGGGACTACAATTAGACCAGGTTACTGTGTGAAGTGGGGCAAGTGTGAGGTGGCTTCTTGTGCCTCCTCCCCCCACTCTGCCTTATGTATCCACAAAGCAGATGGGCACAATATGGCCCTTTGTCTTTATTTCTTAAATCAATTAAACTGGATCAAAAACCTGCCATCCAGTAATTCTCTTCAAAACAACACAGCTCAGGCCTCTGTAGGACTTCTTTCAAAACGTGTGGGGGAAACACAAAAGAGGTGACATATTTCTCCTTGGGGTTAATTGCATCAGAGAGGATTCTTTACTGTTGTGGTTCAGGTCTGATTTAATCCACTGGTGAGTGCAGCCTGGACAATGTTCCAATTAATTTGGTTTGGGTTTTTTAATCAGAAAGGTATGGTAAACTAGGGTTACCATTCGTCAAGAGACGG